ATACAATAAAGCTGCAAAACAAAGTATTGTATACCACAAAGAATTGTATACCACCTAAGGGTAGGACAAGAAGCAATGGGTGGAAACTAATCAGGGAGAGAAGCAACTTAGACAAATGGTTATCCAACATATTCTTAAAAACTTCCAGTGTTGGAGGATTCTCAACTTCTGGAGGCAAGTTGTTCCACTGATTAATTGTTCTAACTGTCAGGAAATTTCTCCATAGTTCTAAGTTGCTTCTCTCCTTGATTAGTTTCCACCCATTGCTTCTTGTCCTACCCTTAGGTGGTATACAATACTTTGTGGTATACAATACTTTGTTTTGCAGCTTTATTGTATTTGCACATGCCAATTACCCATCCATCTGGGGGCTTCATATCACACGATATTTCTGAGTATGTAGTTGTATGAAAACTCAGCGAGTGTGACTAGCAAGTGATTGTGATGTTAGGGGCAAAGCTAATAAGCACAGCCTCATTCCCTTAACAGCTGAAGTTTCGACTGAAAGGACTTTGCTAGAGTACAGAATGGCTATTTAGTCCACTGTTTCAGATGTCAAGTGCAAGAGAAGCAGTCAGTGATCAGGATCAAAAGCAGCAGAAAGTACTTAAAACAAAGTCATTAAGCAAAAGCACTGTCAATATTCCAAGGAAATGAGACATATTGCCATTTAAGGTCCTGAAGTTTCTATTTCTGGCAAAGATCAAGGTTTTCAAGAAATAAGACAAGATTTCAAGGTCAGGCTAAGGAAATGTTCTAACATTTGACTGATGTGAAGTAAAGATATTTATATTGAAATCTCCTGTCTCTTACCTGTAAAGAACCAGTGCTAATTAAATGGGCGGGTGGATGATGCAAAACGCTGTTAGATGAATCAAGATATTTTTCTATATGAATGAGCCAATTATATGAGGCCTCAGTTGCAAAATATATGCCAGTCTTAAGAACAGATCAGTGACCCATCTGGACCAGCATTCTGTCCCTATAATGTGGATACCTTATTTTCCTAAACATTAACAAAATAGTGATTGCCTTCTTTCACTTTTGCTCCCTAGCACTGATGATCTTGCTTAAATAAATTACTTAGAACAGACCTTTTAAAAGAGAAAAAAGCTGAAGTTATAGCTACGCTTCTGCTAAACAAAACATTATATGAGAAGTCACATATGAACATCTTACACCAAGGGTGTCAAACTGGATTTCTTCGAGGGCCAGATCAACAGTTCTCCTACTGGCCATGGGAGGGAGACATGACAGACACCTTCTGAAGCACCCTGCTGGTCAAAATAGGGCATGGCACCCTGTTTTTGGCCTGGGCAACCTCCTGCAGCACTTTGCCAGACAAAACAGGTGTGGGGGGACGATGTGTGCTCCCCCATGCCCCATTTTTGCTGGCACCATGGCTGGTCATTTGCTATTTCCAGGTTGGCCCTGCAGACCAGATTTAAGCACCCTGAGGGCTGGATCCAGCCCACGGGCCTTAGTTTGACACCCCTGTCTTACACTATCTGAACTGAAAAATAACTTGCTGTTGTTATCAATCAAATACTGAAAATTTTGCAATGATCATATACTCCTATGTAATACTTATATATAATAAAAAATTCATGTGTGTGAAAAGTATAGAATTGTAATAAGAAATACCACAAAAATGCTAAATGAATCTTTTTTAAAAAAAAATCTCATTATTTGACGCAAGCTTCTTCCAAGAAGAAATTCTTTGCTATTTTATGTTAATATGATAGAACAGTGCAAACACTGGAGAAAAAAAATGTAGCTCAGATCCGAATTAAATATGTTTGTTGTCCTGTCTCTAATTTAATTTTAAATTTTTCCCCAATATAAGCATTTTGGGTTTATTGCTTTAAATTCATTTTGTCGATATCAAGTTATATTTCCTTTTATTATTTCTGAAAGCAATTGTGCAAAAGCATCTGCAGTTATTTGAAATCCTGTGCAGTAAAACAGATGGTCACATATGATGAAAACCTATATCTCATTTCAAGCATTTGGCAATGGAAGCATAGATTGGATCTATACATTGACATTAAAAATTCCCAGGGAGCTAAACTGAGTTTGCAATAGCTCTTCAAAAGAATATTTTTTTTAAAAATGAACTTTTATCAACAATTTTGTGTGATTCAACTCTGAGACGTATATACTTACAATAAGTCTTACTCCCCCCCCCCCCCACGTGCTGGGAGGGGGGAAAGGCCTATTTTTCCTTGGTAAGGTTGAAGGAAGGAAGTTTCTGTAGAAATGGGAAAGAGCATGGGTTTTAGAAACATTGAAAAAGATGTGAGCATCTCAGATGAGAGAGGAAACTGTCAATCAGTTGAATTAATTTTCTCTGACTGCAAAAACAAATTTGGGGAAATGCCCTGATGCCATCCTCTTTAGATTACTATTTGTGCGTCATGGTTCATCAAAGAAAAGACAATGTTTTGCCATTGTTTGGTTTTTGTTGCCAATCATGCATTTGGAATAAAATAATGGGAAATAAAGGTAGATACAGACAGGGATGGACTTCAAAAATTTCAGCAACAAAAGGTCCTCTGCTTGGTTGTTGGATGGGCGTGGCCATGGTGGGTGTGGCCTAGTCAGTCTCCTGTACCATGGTAGGGGGGCGTTTTCACCTTCTCCAGGCTCAGGAGACTTTCCTCGAGTCTCTGGGATGGCGAAAGCTTCCTCTCCCAGGTTCCAGAGGCCTTCCAGGAGGCCCATTTTTCCCCCTCCCCAGGCCTCCACGTGGGCCCTGCAATTACCTCACATCCAAAACAGGCCGTTTGGAGACTCCTGGGAGGAGCATGATGGGGTGGCAGGGGTGGGGCATGGTGGGTGGGGCCAGTCAGAGGTAGCCCTAACCCAAATCAGCCACAATGTTAGCTACAGGTTCTCTCAAGCCCAGGCGAACCCGTAGCAGCCCATCCCTGCATATAGACTAGATAATCTGAATGTATTTCCTCACGAAATCAGTGGGATCTAACCTTAGCACATTGAGCCTAGGTCTAGCCAAGGGGTGTCAAACTCACAAGCCATGGGCCAGATGCGTCACATGCTGTCCCCGCCCCTGCATGGTTTAGTGAAGGGGGGAAAAGTCCCGATACATGACATGATGCCGCCGTGACGACACGAGTTTGACACCCCTCATCTTGCCCAATCTATACCCAATAGGTTGTGAATTTATGCCTATGGAGATGGACAGGTGACAGCAAAGAAAGATTTAGAATTTTATTTTAAAGCTCATGCTGCTTTTCTGTTTGAAATAAATGACCAAGGCAGCTAGCAAAAGAGATTTCATACACAGAAATCCAACCTAGCAGCAATAGAAGAATAATGACACCAGCAAGAGATCAAATAAAACCAGCCGAAAAATGTAAGATAATTTTTATGACACTTTGAAACACTGACTCAAAGACACTAAATAAATAAATGCCAGGTATTCTTCAGCAAGCACATCCTAATTGAAAAATTGCAGGCTGATAACAAACTGCCATTTATCAGTTTAAAAATAAAGAAGAAAAGTAGTCTAAGGAACAGCATAGATTTTCTCATCTCCTAATTGGTAATAACTACCAATATTGTTCCAAAATCCAATGAGCTCATGTTAGATCCCATGTAATTGTATTCAGAACAGGTGTTCCTAAAGCATGGCCAAGAGCATCACTAAACAGCTGCTAAAATTCTTCTACCTCTCTCTTCTAAAGAAAGGATTGTGTGGATTAAATCCATCTATGATCATATTAGGTGCTGGAAGAAAAGGATAAATAGTTGGAGATGGCTTCCATCATTGTCTTCTGCTATATGACCTCCAGCTGTTGCTGTTATCTGATACCATTTCTATCCCCCATCCAGATAAGTGAAGACAAAAACACAAGGGATGAGAAAGAAATAAAAGCTGAGGATGACATTTATGTGTCCATGATGAGATCAGATTCTCATTCTAATGGACTTGGTAAGTTTCTAAAATGGAGCATTCGCTATTCATTTATTATTATATTTTTTTAAGTTTAATTCTTCTATAATATTGTTGAAAGTATACTGTACATCAATACAATTTGTATGTATTACTTTCCCAGAGATTGAGTTAATTCCAGTATATATATGGTAGCCATTTCTCCACCGCATTAATAGACATTCCAAATGTTTTAAATTTTAGGAAAAGTCTAAGTGACTTCAAGAGCATGGAAGACACCGTGCCTAACTATGTTCCCTCCATTTATGCTTTTCTTCTTGCATTTGAGTAATCAGTGGACGCCGTCCATAAAGTGCAGAATTCTCAATAATTCGCGTTTTTCTCACAATGGCAAAATTTATCCCTGTTAAAGACTGTAAACTGATAGGTTGGCAGCCTAGTCTATTAAAAATATACAGGCACAACTGCATAACTTATTGCTCCTACTGTGTCCTACTGTGCATCCAAAATTAGACAAGTTAGGGAGGAAGTAGAATGTTGCATTTCCAGAGTCATTTAACGTCACATGTTTGTCTATGTTGTTTAGAAATGTCACAAATTAATTAGAGCCTTTTCTATTCGTTGATAAATATTTTAGATGGTTCTTCACTGAAGTTATAGATGTGACAGCTTTCCGCTATATACTATATTCATTCATGAAAGTTTAATTAGCATTGTGACTGTTTCTCTGGAGAAATCTGTAAGAAAATGTAAAATGCTTCCAGATGGTTATTTTAAATGAAAGAATAATGTATTCTCCCAACATTAACAGGCAGCCCAAGCATAGAAGAACCACCTGGAGCCTGTTTGGAAATCCAGAAGAAGAAAGGGATGAATGCTGATGCAGAACTGAAAGAATATAATGAGGAAGGAATGGTCGAAAAAGAAGAAGGAAATAAATTAGAAGAAAATACTTGTCACTTGAGAAATAGCTTGTATAGTAGCATACTTAAGGATGTCCCAGAAGCAAAGAGTGAAAATGTCAGCTTCTCAGAGGGGCCACCCTTGCCACCCCGAAATCAATTTCTTGCCAGTAAACAAGCTGATTTTTTCTACTTGTATTCAGGTATAGACTCACGGAATAACACAAAACATTTATAGCAAAACTACAAAAATATTCAAGATCCCGGCTTCTCTCCTGCATAGTGTCTGATCCAGCAAACCAGGGGTGGGTTTCAACCGGTTCACGGCGGTCCCTGCGAACCAGTTGGTCGCCGAACCCAGAAGTAAGTAACTTCCGGGAACGGCGAAGGGTGCGCCCGCCCGCCCGCGGTCGTTACCCTGTTTTGACGAGTTC